TCCACCAAGGCCGGCGGCAAGCGGAGGCCAAGGCCGGGGGCTCCCGACTTAGACTAGAAAACAAGGATCCCCGACGTTTCGGAGCGAGGCGGGCACCTGCGGAGTTCTGGCAAAGGGCGGTGGGCACAGTGACAGAATGGCCGCTACCGGAGGAGGAGCCCATCACGCAGCGCCAGGGAGCCAGGTTATACATGTGTATATAGAACTGTAATAACAACTCTTGCAGCCCTGGCGCAGGCAGAAAGCCCGTTCAACGGGTTGCCTTTTAATCTGCACAGCCAATCAGATGACCTGCCAGTGGCCACCTGCCCCCTCCCACTTTCTGAAAAAGCACTTGGCAGAAGTGTTCCCTCTAAGTTGAGTCAGTGTGAGCTAGCCCACAGTTCTTTAGCCTCCGGCTCACACATTCTTGTCTTAGCTCAGGAAGGAGGGCTCCAGAGCAAACTAATTTATGCAGTAGCCAGATCGCTCACTCACAACCAATGTTCCCTCTAAGCTATGGAGTCTTGTGAGCAAAAATTCTACTTTGTGAGCCACTGGCATTAAAGTTGTGAGCGAGCAATTCGGCTGTTGCATAAATTAGTTTGCTCTGGAGCCCTCCTTCCTGAGCGGGGACAAAAATGTGTGAGCCAGAGGCTCAAAAACTGTGAGCTGGCTCACACTAACTCAGCTTAGAGGGAACACTGCTCACAACTTTAGCGCCAGGAGCTCACAAAGTAGAATTTTTGCTCACAAGACTCCACAGCTTAGAGGGAGCATTGCTTGGCAGGTGCCAGGAAAGTTGGCAGCGGGCACCGTGGTTCCCCCCTGGCGCCACGCTGGGGACCTCTGTTGAAAAAGAATGAAAAAGTCCGCACCCCACCCCAAAGAAGACGAAGAGGTTTGATTTATACCCCGCCCTTCACTCGGAGTCTCAGAGCGGCTTACAATCACCTTCCTGTCCTCTCCCCACAACAAGACACTCTGTGTGGTAGATGGGGCTGAGAGAGCTCCGAGAACTACTCTTGAGAAAACAGCTATAAGAGAACTGTGACTGACCCAAGGTCATCCAGCTGCCTGCATGTGGAGAAGTGGGGAATCAAACCTGATTCTCCCAGATCAGAGTCCATGCCCCTTAACACTACACCAAACCCTACACCTGAGAAGCAGCTAAGCCAGCAAAGAGGGGGTGGAGGCAGTGTCCCTGTCTTGCTTGATTTCTGATTGCAGGGAGAGGGGCTTTTTAAAAAAAAAAATGGGAACCAACATTCAGAACTGGAATCCAGCTCCAGTTCTGGTGCAGTCTATTTTGCCACCTCATTTGCCTAGATATTTAAACCAAGCTGCAGATGCCCCTCTTTGCAGACCCCTGTGCCCAGTAAGAGAAGGCTGAAGGCAGGCAGGAGAATGTGGTGGGAGTGAGCTGGAAGCCTGTTCTCTGCCCTAAAAACTAACGGAATGAAGCATATTTGCATTTAAACCCCTCTGGCCACACTGGGGAACAACACCTGATCTACACAGGCAAGCCCAAGGAGAAAGTAGATTGTGGATGAGAATGTACATTTCCTGTTTTAACAATGCCCCGTAAGAGGAAACCCAACACGACATGCTAAAAGCTGGGCTAGAAACTTCCTTCCACCTCTTTTATTTGCCTGTGTAGACCAGGTAGAAGATACACCCTCTCAAATCACTTTCTGCTGTGGGGTGACAACTGAGACGTGTTCTGTTCCCCAGCAGAAGGGGACAAGAAATCTTGGATACTTCTGGTATGGCCACGAGGCCCTCAGTGCAAGCTGTCCTTTCAGTCGTACTGGGGAGCCAGTTTGGTGTCGTGGTGAAGTCCGCGGACTCTAATCTGAGAGAACCGGGTTTGATTCCCCACTCCTCCACTGGCACCTGCCTGGAGGATGACCTTGGGCAAGCTGTAGTTCTGATAAGAGGTGTTCTTGAAAAAGAGCCGTTTCTGTCAAGAGCTCTCTCAGCCCCGCCTACCTCACAGGGTGTCTGTTGTGGGGAGGGGAGGGGAAGGGAAAGGAGTTTGTAAGCCGCTCTGAGACTCCCTTGGGTAGTGAAGGGCGGGGTATAGATCCAATCTCTTTTCTTCTTCTACTCCCACTTGACTTTGGGAAATCCTGTTCTGTGCTGGAGCCTCATAAAGGGACTCTCGTGACTGTCTCCACTTTGTCCACTAGTGACATTTCCCCTCATAAAGGGACTCTCGTGACTGTCTCTACTCTAGTGACATTTTCCACATCTCAATTCTCATTTCTTGGCTTCCTTTTGAGCATCCTTTTCAGTCCTAGTACCTTTCTACAGAGCCAGCTACAGATGACAGGGGACCCACAGAGAGTTCCCACGGGCGCCCTCCTTGCCTACCACGAGGCCCCACCGGTCATACCTCCTTTCCCACCCCCACCCTTGCATCCCCCTCCTGCCTGTGTGTCCTTCCCCTGCTTGCCGGTCTTCCCACTCTTTGCATTCACAGCTGCCCACATTGCCTGCATGCCTTTTGCCTGGTGGCGCTAGGTAGAGATGTTGCCACCATAGCGGCCAGGAGCACCGATGCCATGCACCACCTGCACGCTCTTTCCCAACAATAATGGGCTGGGTGCTCATCTAGGAGGACAAATAGTGGAGCACTTGTGAGCAGGTGGGGGAAGAGGAGGAAGCAGGCAAAGCGTTGTGGATGGCAGGTTGGTGGCCGTGGGCCCCACCAAAAACCCTGGGCCCTGGCAGCTGCCTCACCTCAGGGTATGCGGAAGCCAGCCCTACCTTTCTACATGGGTCATCTGTGGACTGCCACCCAGTGGCTTCCCCTTTCCTTTTGCAGTCCAGTCCAGATGCATAGCCCTGGTCATCACCCCTGACCTCATGACCATCATTTCCAGGCATCATCCCACCGGCATTCTTGGCCACTGTGGAGACACTTTGCCAGTGGCTGCTGACGTTGTGCTAGCAGAGATTAATTCAGTCAGATGCCATGCCACTGCTGCAGCTGGATAGTTCATACACTGAACGCAACAGTCCCACCTTAGATGGCAACGCAGATTTCATATGCAAAGCCACAGTCTCCTTTGGGAGCCAACCTGCAGAGCCCTTGAGCCTATTCCACCTCAAAGTCCACCTCCGAGAGCACCACGCCCCCCCCATTATGTCCTAGTTCCCACCGTTAGCACAGCTGTGCCCATTGCCTCTGGCGGGCAGCATCCAAACCAATCACCCCTCCCCTTTTCTCTGTAAGAGCAGTTGCTGCTCTAGATATCCAGGGTGAAAGCGTTGCTTAGCATAACTTCAAGCACATGTTCTCCGTCAAAGCCACTCTAATCAACCATGGCCACAAACCAGGATCTCCCCCCCCCCACTCTATGTTATATTGGGGTAGAGTGAAGACTAATTTGCGTTAATGTGACTGTGGGGATTAAATGAATGAAGCTGAAATAAAGGGGATACAGGCTTGTATTATATGCTACATTAAAAGGCTAAGAACAGTATGCCCAGGAAGGTATTAGTGTACTTATAATTTATCTGCACTCTAATTGTTTGGGAGCCAGGGAAGCAGTGAAAGATGAGTCCCCCATCTCATCAGCGGCAGGGAAAGCATGGGTCCACCATTTTTTAAATCTTATTTGCCCCCTCCCACTTTCTTCTATCTCCTTCAGCGGTAAGTGCTTCCAACCAATCATGTCAAATCAAGCTTCCTTTCCCACAGGAGTTTCCAGCCATTTGGTGGTGGTGGGGAAATCTACTCATTGCATTTCTTACACCACCCCCATCTTAACTTCAGGCTCAGTGGCTTGAACAGGTTGGTCTCCCCACCCCACCCCAACTGGGACATCTTTCCGCCATATTCAGGCCTTGTGAAGTGTATTTAGTCCACACCAGGGGTCATTTCATAGAAAAAGAGGTACAGGAGCTCATTAGCATAACTCATTAGCATAACTTATTTGATTATGCCACACCCCCTGACATCACCAGAAATGTGTCAGAAGGCAACACCCACCACTCAGGCTCCACTGGACTGTTTTGGATTCCTAGCTATTGGGGAGGGGGAAATGTGCAGATCTGTCCTTGCAGAGGAGGGAGAGCTTGTACCTGAATAAAACTTGGTTTTAAAGGCGCCACTAGACTGTATTGGACCGGGGGGTGGGGGGGGGCTCTGCAACTTACCTGGCTGCTTCTTGCTCTGACTGAGGGGTGCTGGGAGCAGGGGGCGGGACTTATTGCATGTGCCCGCCCCCTGGGCTCTTTACTGCCGGAGCTCCGCTCCTGTGCGCTCCTGCAGGAAATGACCCCTGGTCCACACCAACCTGGTTTTTAAGGGGTTCCTTAGTTTCCCCACTCTTTTGATTAGTTTCCAAAGTCATTCCCCCCCCCCCCCCTCCTGTTCTAGCGGTGTGTGTGTGCTTGTTGTCTGGTGGGAGTGGCATTCACCCCTCCGATCTGGCTCAGCCGACTGCTAC